TATGGTTGTTCAGCGCCACGGTCAGTCGACGTTGCCGCATCTGCAGCAGCAGCCGTCGCGGAAGCGCCTGTGACTATTTTACACGACATAACGCATATCCTAAAATTAAACGAACTTGCATGAGCATACCTTTCATCGGCGATGCCGATTTCAATAAAGTTTCAATCCAATTCCAAGATGAGGAAACAAAGAACATCCATATTCAACGGTAGTCAAAAAGCATCATCGCATCCGTTGTTCTGAAAACGTTACACGATAATCGACAAAAGATGTAAATGACAACAGATGATCAATGTAACGATGGTCAGAGGCAACAACCCTCTGATTTAACTCACGTTGACATAGAAGGAAGAAAAACCACAAGCAACAAATATGAACCGGCGGGGTAACAGAGGCCGGAGTGAGGGCAGTGAAAGAAAGGAACATTATCATCACGTCATCGTGTCCGCCATTATCATCAATACCATTATGCACATCACAATAAGTCGTCACATGTGACCGAGTTATAGGCCAGTCATCATTCTTATAATCATTTCGCAATCGTTATCATTACTTTTCATCTTTGATACAGATGATATAATGCCAGCAAGCATAGCCAACTAGCTCCAGTCCTCTACAAATTTTTTATATTCATCATCTTTCGCAATATTCAGCATGCATAAAGAACAACTTTCTGAAACACTTTCAGTAGCTTCTGTGTCTGTGAGCTTCTATCTTAGACAGCCCTAGCTGATCGCCATCTATATCGGAATGAAATAATTTGGAGCGATGACTATCGATGCTGTTCGTACAACATTCATTCTTATTTTTTATCATAACCATCACTGTTATAATCATTATCTACAGTGACGTCAAATTATCATTATTTAGCAATCGTCATTACCATCATCAATCATCGTTAATTTCTCGTTTTCTTTTCACCCAGAAAAATTTTGCTTATCCCGTTGCTGATCTACTCAAATAAGAAATTTGTTTACCGAATATTTATCCGATCGCCACTTTAGAGTGCGAGGCTGCGGTCCTCTGTATCTGATGTTGACTGCTCATTGCCAGTACGAGCAGCATCGCCGAAGCCTGCTAGCAAAGCCACTCTACTGTTTTGTACTATATCGAAGCCGTTTCCGCAACTCTGACATTCGACCATCAGTCAGGGAACCGTCGGCAGTGCATACGTGCGTGTTGAAAGCAGAACAAAAGCACTTTCCAGCTTAGCATCAACAGTTACTGAACAGGACTTTTATGCTTTCTTCAAGGATGTTCGAAAAGCAAGCTTTTCATAAATGCATTTTCGCCATACCGTGGGCAGGGGAGCATCCAGCAGTTACCGCACTTCAAACTACTTGTCAAAGAGGTCGATGTAGGTACATTACTGCAGCTGCTAAGATTGTTGACTTTCCAAGTGAAGGCTAAACAAAAGCTGACACGAATCGCGACAAGCACAGCTGAAACTGAAAAAGTTTACAGTATGCTATCTACCGTTAGGTAACAATTTTAATGCAATTTGACTCTCCTGATCTGGAATGTGTCATGGGTATGATGGACAGTTGAATCATAACAAGGGCTGGATTATCAGTGGCACGCAGAGTGCTCATCCAACAATGTCAATGGCAAATACAAAATCACCGACGTTACTTCCTGCGCTTGTACCTCACCTCAGTCAGGTCAATACATTGGCAAAGATGTTCTAATGAACGAGCGAGTATGAGTTTTGAACTGTGCACAAAAAACGGTTGCTTCTTGCTGAGGTTGAAAAACCCAATTCTAGCCAACAGCCAATCCAAAATACTGATGGATCCAGAAACAGGGCATACACCCCGCTGAATCAGAGATCGCTTAAGCTCTCGTCGAATCGACAGGCAAAAACCGTGAACTTTCCAAAATGATGGATGATTCTGATGTGAGTCATCTGATTTCGTTTCTCTTCATCTTCCTCCTGCTCATCATCATCTTCTTCGATATATTGTTTTTTCAGTGGTACTACGCACAAGCAAACCGACATGTAGCAGTATTTATTTTAAGTATTAAAGTTTCTATACAGTCAAGTAAAAGATATATTTACGATCCTCAAAGTAAACAATAAACAAACAAATGACTAAAATAACTGGTAGCTATAGTAAACGTCATACCATCGGTCCGTTTGTTTGTGCCTAGTAAGAATGAAGAGGAAATTTATGAAGTATATTTTCTTTACGAGTTTGATAGAACGTTGACGCTGTGCATGATTTGGTTCGACATAAAAGGGTTCAGTAACAACACCCAGCTGAAACCTTATCACGCACATAAGCTACAACTGCAAACTTAATCCATAAGTCATGACTAGGATTACGAAAGAAGACTCAACCTTCGATTAAAACTAAAAATTTATAAATGACGCTAAAATCGAGTTCAAGTCTAGTTTGTGCAATCGATCACCAACTGATGAGAGCACCAAAAAAGTGCCTGCACCATGCAATATCAATTACGCATTAACAATCACTTCCCATTACAAATCAACACAGCAACAGGAAATATATTTCAAAATAACTTAATATCTCCTTACAGGCCAAAGTTTATGGCACAGTGCGCCTATCCACCATTTTGCATCTAGTTACCCAGGAAGACATCATTTAAGTAGGCCACGAGTCCGAGACATTTGAGCATCTGAAACGCCAGAGATATTAACATCACCAAGTTTCATGCTACTCATTTCGTTCTAATGCATGAACATCAAAATATACGTTTCTACACTGGAGAAGGCTAACAGCTGCATAACTGCTCAAACACCAGATTTTTAAAAAATTTCCTAATGGCAGTTTATATGGATATAAATACCAACGAGAAGCGAAAAAGAAAAATTTGCAATCGTCTCCCAACGATCTTACACTTGCATGATCTGGGCAATTTATGATAACCCTTTTTTATGCCATTAATGGTGTGGCGCTGAACTCCGTTTCCATGCATCCAGCCATTAGTACCCTATTTTTTAAGGAGGAGTCAACAGCCAAATGTAACGTGCAGTCTCCTATTTCCATGCACCCACCTGCTTACCTCATAGACAAAAAAGACGAGTGACCTGACTGGACCGGAACTGGAAGCCGGGATCATTCGGTTATGAGGAAGACACCTTATCGACTGAGTAACCATCAACGGAGAAATGGTACCCGCTCTTTACTCTGAAGTGAGCTTTCTGTTGACTGCGGAAACAAATATGCCTTAGATACAAAACGCGATTTCCCTCCCCGCAAATGATATCTGCTTGATTAGCGAAAATGAATATATCATTGTGTAGTCATAAATACATTGCATAGAACATTGCTTCACATTTTGTTCTTTACCTACGTTGATTTCTCTTAAAACAAAAGTGACAATGAGGTTAAACCTATGAGGAACAGTAGGTCATTCATCTGCAGTCCTTAAAAATCCGCTTCACTAAAACTAGAAAATTAGTAGATATCCACACACTCCTTTAATCGGCAGAGTCGGGCGAAAAGTGTAACAGAGACGTGCTCCACTCGTTTTACACAGACAGCATTAAAATTCCAAGTTAAGACCAGATTCCTGAAGTAAAAACAGTAGCAAACCGGCTAGATCAAATAACAGTGTTCGTCTTCAAACAATCTTCGTGACAGGAAAACATTAATTGCCAACCCAGATGACTGATCCAGCAAGTCCCGCTGAACTTTGATCGAATGTATTAAGATGAAAAGATGTTTGACCAAGTATACGATGTTAGTGAAACAATGGAGGAGGATCAAAAAGACACGCTTTTGAAATGGGAAACATGCCAACAGTGACTTACTTTAGATCGAGTTCTTTAAACAAGTCGTTTAAAACGGTACAAAGGAATTAATACAGCATGTCTAATAGGAATGTGAACGCGTGTCACCGATGCCTGATTCGGTTCAGGAAGCGAGTAATCGAATCTAGTCAAACATTTACTGCCAAATGACTGGACTTTTTGCATTAGTCTCAATGCTGGCGTTTACAGGAGTTCATTAGTGAAACTTTATGACACAAGGAAGTAAATCTTGTGTCTCAGAGGATGATTTGTGTATGTCTTTCACGTTATTATCAACGTTTCACGTTACATCAAAGTATCATCGACCACATTCTATTTCCCATTACTCACAAATGAAACACTTCTATCAAATATGGTCAGAAGTAGACCGTAGCTGTTGAACTATTAGACAACTTCGTTAATGAAATTCGATCCATTCGATTTAAGCGAAATATTGAAAGGGATAAATCTTGCACAATACAGAATCGATTTACACGCCTTTCATATTGTCACATACTTGTTTGACCCGGTTCAGACAGTAAGCGCTCTAACCTAGACAAACAAATTTATTAAGTGAATTATACACGAAAATCAACCCGCTGATGTAAAATCGTATTCTAGTGATGTACTACCTAAGCCCTAGGTAGCGAGTCAAACACTCCCACTAGACGCGGTCAAGATTCGGTTGAATTTGCCTGTGTGGTTTGGCGTCTACTCTAGAAGATTACGTTTGCGAAATCTGTGCTCTTAGCTAAAGACGCGAGGTGACAAATGTTGTACGTCAGCGGATTGATTTTCGTGTGCCATAAACGTGTCTCGAATTCGGTTCGGTTCAGGCAGCAAGTGCAAGATTCAAGACAAAGACATATTCAGGATATGAACGAAATGCGAAAATCAATGCGCTGGCGTCCGATACTTATTCCGCTGTGCCTTCAGCCTAAGAATATCAATTTTCATTAATGGACTGAACTAATTTTAAAGCATATAAATTCGAACAATTGAAATTTTACCGCATGCTAACGGAAATGTTTGACTAGGCTCAGGTAATGGATGCGAGCTTGGGATAATAGAATGAGGTAAAGGACAGACCTACTGCATACTGGGCTTAAGTTCATAAAAATGCTTAAGAAACTGTGCGCAGGCAATAGGC